AAATCCTGCTTTTCCTGCCTTTGTCTGGAACCCGCTAACTCCAGAAGGACATCACTTCCTAACAAAGGTTTCTGGAATGCAGTACTAGTCTTAGCTATTTATAGGAAGGCTCATGTGACTATCATTATTGTCTAACAGCAAGCACTGTGTTCCAAATTTGTCATATTTGGGGCAACAATGAAGGAATAAACAAAAAAAAGAAGCCAATTTTATACCAAGAAGCCAGGGATTATAGTCCGTTTGAAGTCCTCATGAGACATATACGCACACCTGAGCACAAAATACCTTCAGCTGAAGAGCATGAAGGCTACTTGTGTAGATTCTCACCCACAACAAGAACACAGACTTCTATTAGGGCCATAAGAATGCCAAGATATGAGCCACTGCTGCAACTGCTCCAGTGGTTGGTCATTTGGTTCTCATTGGCCAAGACAATTGCTGTGATTACTTCTATTAAGCACTACATAAAAGGCCTTCCAGATGAATCCATAATTTTTTTGCAAAAGAAGCCACACTACTACCTTTGAAACTTGGGTTTGGGGTCAAAACTACATCTGAAATAATAATTTCTTGTAGTCTGTTCCAAACTATTTGATGAGCAAGTTTTTAGCCGTTCATCTTGCAAACTGCAAATTCACAATAGTAGATTTCTGCTGACCAACGTTATCTTTGACTACAGCCTCATAGAAAATGCTTTACATTTTGATACACTGGTGGCAAAATGCAGAAACAATAGGTATTTGGACGTGTAGTATGTGTGTAGTTTGTGATATAATCATTTTTAACAAAGATCTGATCAAAGCATGCAATCAAAGAATAAGAAAGCGAAAACAGACAGAGCAGCTGTTTTATTGTCAAACACGCATGTCGATATTCAATTTCAGGTTTGAGGGCCATTCTTTCTTCACTCAGAGTTCGTCAGAGTTGGCAGATTAGGATTGTACATAAATGTACACTCACTGTATTCTTTTTTGCAAAGATTCACTTAAATCATCTTTCTTCCCCATTCTGATGCTCATTTTCAACTTCAGCAGGTCATCTTGACCAAGCTGGCTCATTAGATAGTCATGTTAACAAGCAGTTAAACATGTTTACCCAAGGATACAGTCCACTGCAGCGAGTAATCAAATGACTATTTACACCGTTAGTAGTTAGTAGCAGTTAGTTGACCGTGGCTCAGGGGGTTGGGAAGCGCATCTGTAACCGGAAGGTCGCCGGTTTGATCCCTGGGCTCTCTGTCCTGGTCGTTGTGTCCTTGGGCAAGACACTTTACCCTACTGATG